GGTGCCGCCGAGCGCGCTCGGGCAGCCGCATCGGCACCCCGGCCCTGGGGGTTCTCGCGGTCCCCAGGTGCTTCGTGCCTCGCCCGCGTTAGGAATTGATGCCCGAGCTATGCCCAGCCCTTCTCTACAGCCGCGGTTGGGAGCCTTCCCCGCGCTCCTCGGACGTGCTGCGCTTGGGCTTTCCAAGGGACTTGGCTCAAAAAGTGCCCTCGGTATGGGACACGGACCGTCTCTCTTCACACAGCTGCCCTTGAGGGCCACAAGTTGAGACGTCAGTGTTATAGGCGTGACCCCAAGTGTTGATGCTAGAAATTTCTGGCCTAGCGAAGAGTTTCCTCTTAACCCAGAAAGTGACTCTTTGTGATTACATTACCCCTTGGATGTTCAGATAGAAATATGCTTGATGACTTGCAACCCACAGCTGTGTTGCAGGTTTAACTGACTGCTTAGCTCAATGAGTCATTTTGGTCAAATGATTATAGCATAGCTGGAAAAACGGTTGGATCCCGAAATGCAGTTTTTGTTTCACTGTGACCTTGAACAAGTTACTTAACTAATTTGTGCCTGACAACCTGGCAAGGAAAATAGAGCTTTTTCTTTTTAAAAAAAATCCAATGTCACATAGCATATCTAAGCCAAATTGCACAAAGTAAATTGTGTGAATGTCTGGTAGCTTGAAAAGTAGAGATGTGACTGGGTAACAGTAAGCTGGTTCCCAGGAGCAGCCCCTTTTCCCCTCCAGCCTCCCTGAAACCTGCTGCCGCTGGAAGGCTGCTCTAACCCCAGCACAGCCAGCGTGTTGTGGCTGGGGCCAGGAGTCAGTGCTTAGTTAGTTAACCTAATGTTTAATCAATTAGCTGATTGATCAAGATTTTACATGCCTATTGTAAAGTAGTAAATAAACATATTTAAGTCAACAGGCTACCAATATTATTATTGTTAACCTGACTATAGTTTGCCCCCATCTCATTGACCCAGGAAAATAGTCCCTAGGAAGGAGGGTTGCTACTCAACTAAAACTGCAGCTGCTCAGCAAGATGAGCTGCTATCAATAAAAAAATGCATTTGACAAATGTCTGTAGATTGACCTGTTCCTTTGTTCTTCTGCCTGTGTCATTGTTTTGAAGGCAACAATGTGAAATTTTTGTTTGAATTAGGTGCACATCCTTGAATCACACTGTTCTGTTGGTGTATATATCATAATATGGCATGTATTTACTGTCAACACTCACGTAGAATTTGATTCTGAACTAGGTTTTGGAGCATACCCTCCCCCTACCCACAAGGTCAAAATGGTATACCTAATTGAATAATTTAGCAATAGAGTCTCTTTTATGCATTTGTGTCTTCACTTTGTTTGATACCTTAATTTATCTATACACAACTCTATACTGGAATTTTCCATGGTGTCCTGATACCTGAAATTAATGACTCTCTTTAGCTGTCTCTCTTAACTTGGTAGATATGTGCATTGGAAGGCTGAAAATCAGAAAGAGTTTGTTACAATTCATGTCTGCTCACAAGGTTTTAAGAAACACATGCTTTACTCACGCATCTGACAAAGTAGGTCTTTGCCCATAAAAGCTTATGGCCAAATAAATCTGTTTAATCTTTAAAGTGCCACAGGACTCCTTATTGTTTTTGCAGGAACAGACTAACATTGCTGTCCTTCTGATACATGCTTTACCAGACTTGCCTGTCTATTATTTCTCTTTTTAGGTGTTTCCGGTGATGAATTTAGTGTCTTACGATCACCACAATCTGTCATTTTCCGAGATGGAAGTTGGCCAATACCAGGGGAGCGGATCCCAGACATAGCAGCATTATCCATGGGCTTTTCTGTTGAAGAAGTATGTTTATTTTTATTTTGAAAAAGCTGTAAAATTCACATTAGTTGGTTTGGAGAGCTTTGAATTATAGTTGTGCACAGATTTTTTTTTTTAAATGTGGTAGAAATAAAGTAGGAACTAGTAAGACGGACTAAGAGGAAATTCAGAAACCTCGGGAATCTAACTCGTGGTCTCCCTCTTCTCCAACGAAACTGTTATTAACGGCCTAACTGCAATATAAATGTTTAACAATAAAATGTCTACGGGGCCATTTGTGTTCTGTCTTTTGGACTATGAAAACACCCTGTTGACACTTGCTATCTTGAAATTAAGAGCAGAATTTATATAGAATAGTTCTGGTAATTTAATCCATTACACTGATTAGGGTTGATCATGTACTCTGCGTGCTGAATGTCTGCTTGAGGCACAAGGTAAAATCAAATGCTCTTTGGCAAAAGAGGCATCTTGATTTTTCACACGCTGCTCTTCCTGGGGTATCTGGGATATGAAATGGGAAAATGTATACTCTTTGTGGCAGTCTGTTCTTTCTTCTAAGGTTGGTATACCCCCCCCCCTTAACTGTGAGTTCCCTTGGATCCACCCAAAATTGGCTGCCCCTTGTTTCCCTTCCTACAAAGAACAGAATGTCAAGAATGGGGAAGGAGAACTCTCCAAATCCTCTTCTCAGAAAAACAAATACACGGAGTGAAAGTAGATATCAATATAGTAATTAGGCCTTTGATCGATCTATCTTGAATGTCAGAATCATTAACCTTTTATTGTTTATAGTTGTATCAGAAACATCATGGCAATGTATTTTCCTTTGTGACTAGATATTATTCAATCACAAACATGTATTTGAGTAAAAATATTCCTCCAGCAAGGTGCATTCTAGAGAAGCCTACAGAGTTCTTCAAATCATGGGAAGTTGCTTTTAATATCACTACTGTAGTAAATGGACTTGTTCAGTGAATCTTGTGGAATTTAACAGTTTTGGCTGTGAAATCTGATTTAGTAGCTACAAAGCAGTTAAGTCAACATTGCACAGTATGTGAACGGCGCTTTTTCTTACAGTAAAGTTGTGGAGGGCTTTCTCATACGGAATTAATGAAGAAACATCCTGGGGGGGACCACAATTTTTTGTGGGGTGAAGAATCGTTTCAAATGTTTAGATTCCCTACTAAGTTTCCAGTGGGTTTTCCAATCAAGAGTCATATACCACTGCAGATTCTCTGCATTAATCTTTTGATATTGTTTGAGCTGTTTCTTTTTCCTTTGATTTAAAAGCTAAACAAAAGTTTTTGCTTTAAAATTTGTTTCCAGGATCTTTCCTGGCCTGGGCTTGCAGTGGGTGATATATTCCATCGTCCTCGCGCTACTGTTCTTGTGACTGTAAAGGGAGTAGACAAGCTGGTGATGCCTAAAGATGGAGTTTCTTATCCTGTTGAGAATGTAAGTATCTGCAGTTTTTTTATTTTTATCCCTCTGTTGTTTATACTTCTGTTCATATTGAAAGTATTCCTTGGTGTTCAAAAAACCCTCCAAAAACTAACTTTTCACCAGTTACGCTTTTTATGTCAGTCACATAGCTTTTCATGGATTCAGAGAATTAAGACCAGGAGGGACCATTAGATTGAATCTGACTTCCTGGATATCACAGTAAACTTCACTGAGTTATCTTGGCGTTGAGTTGAATAACTTGTTTGACTAAAGCATGTCTTCCAGAAAAGCATCTAGGTTTGTTCTGATGACATCAGGAAATGAAAGATCCACTACTACTATTAGTAGTTTGTTCCAATGTTAAAATTGCCCTCGCTGTTAAAAAATTGTCTCATTTCCAGCTTGAATTTGCCTGACTTCAGCCTCCAACCATTGGCTCTTGTGCTTTCCTGTGCTAGGTTAGAGCCCTTTAACATACCTGATGTCTTCTCCATGTGAAAATACTTAAACTGGGTACTTAAGTCACCTTTCAATTTTTTTGATAAATTAAACAGGTTCCCTTTAAATCTTTAACTATACAGCATTTTCTCCAGCCCTCCAATACATTTTTGTGAGGTTTTTCAACCTCAAGTCTTTCAAAATTCTTTTTAAAATGTGGACACAGAACTGGATGTGGTTATCCAGATTTAGTTTTACTGATACCATGTACAGAGGTAAAATCATCTCCTTGTTAGTACTGTTTACTCACCAATTTATACATTCAAGAATCACAAGCCCATTTTGCCACAGCATTGAACTGGGAGCTCATATTGAGTTGCTTGTCCATTAGGAATCCTAAATCATTTTCAGAGACACTGCTTCCCAAGGAGCAATTCTGCAGGTATGGCCCCCACACCTTATTTCTGCATACATATCTTTGCATTTGACTGTGTTAAATCTATTTGTTTGAAAGGGCCGAGTATACAAAACAATCTAGATTGCTCTATATGATTATCCATCTTCATTGTTTGCCACTCTGACAATGTTTGTGTCCCCTTTTTTCAGCAATGATTTTAATGTTTACTTATGTCCATTGATGAAAATGTTGAATAGCATTGGACTTAATACTGATCGTGACACAATTAGAATCACTCCCATTCAATGATTATTTTCCCCATTGTCAAATACTCAGAGATCAGTTAGCTGGTTCTTAATCCATTCAGCATGTGCTTTAAAAAAATGATGCTTTTAGTACTCAAAATGTTACATGGTACTAAGTCAAACGCATTACCAAAATCTGCTTTACCAAAAGTATGTTACAAATTAGGGATGTTAAAGACTAGTTGACTATCTGACGAGCATTTGCTTATAGGATAGTATTTAGACTAATTGATTTCTCCTTCCCCTCTCCCCCCCAGCCCCTTTGCTGCAAAGGGGTGGGAGCAGATACTTCAAAGTGGCAGCACTGCACAGTGGTGTGGCGCTGCTGCTTTGAAATCCCAAAGGGGTATTTCACAAGGGTAGTCACTGCACAGCTGATCCACAGATCAGCTGTGCAGAGGCTGCCCTTTTAAAATGCTGTCTCCATATTTCAAAGGGGCAGCAGTGGAGCTGGGGAAAGCTGATCCCAGCTCCCCTGCTGACCCTGGCTCCACTGCTGCCCCTTTGAAATGCCAGAGGCGGTGTTTCAAAGGGACAGCCACAGCACAGCTGATCTGACTAGTCAATTATCTGCATTTTAACACCTTATTACAAATGTGTAGTTTAACTTTATCAACTGATCTTGTGATTTGATTAAAGAATTAAATTAGGTTTGTTTGAAGTTTGTTTTCTATGAAATCAAGGAGACTGGCATTAATTATATTCCTAGCCTTTAATTCTTTATCAATTGAATTCTGTATTAGCTTTTCCATTCTTTTCCTGGGGATTAATGTCAGACTGACTGGTACATAGTTATCCAAATGACCCTGGTGCTCTTTTTGAATATTGGAGCAACATTAGTCCTCTTCAAATTTTGTGGTATTGCCCCACAATTCAAGATTTATTAAAAACTAACGTTCGCAAACCATATCTCCTCAACAAACTCTTTGATGCTTCCTGGATGTATATAATCTAGGCATGGCAATTAAAAATGTGTTGTCCCTAGTAGATGATACTTCACCATCCTCCTTAGTTACTAATAGACTGGAAAATACTTCTTCGTCCTCATGTGATGAGCATACATCATCGTGCTTCTTTCAACTACAGAACAAATGTTTATTTTGTTTTACACCATTAACATTTTAACTATCTGTCTAGTAATGGGCTTATTTCATTGTTATAATTTATTTTGTTCCTAATAAACTTTAATTTCTTGTTCTTAGCCTTCCTAGATGGATTTTTTTCTTCTGTATTTTTACCATCCTTCATAAATTGTCATGTGACTTCTAATTTCTTTCTTCCTTTTTCTACTTATTACGTATTACTGTTTTATTTCTAATTAGTTGCCATCACTTTGCAACGGAATCAGGATGGGCTTTTTCGCTAAAATTGTCATCTTGATTGTAGAATCAGGTGTTTTGAGCCATCTTATAAATTCTTCAAGAACTCTGAATTTTCATTAACATTTCTGTCTATTTTTTTCCTCAGTCAATTTTGGTAACTTTTCCTCTGCCTTGGAAAACTTTCCCTTTTGAAGGTGTGGAAGTGAAACAATTCAGAATATCCCTTTAGACTCTTAAAAGAGCAGTCAGCCTTTGCAAATTCTTACTGAAATTGAGTAGGTAGAAAATCTACTATTTCACCTTTATCATAATGCTGAAGTAGTTCATATTTTACATAGTCATCAAAAAGTGAATGACGATTTAAATTTTGAAAAGCTGAGCTGGTTTTGGGAACAAAATAATACTACCTCATTAAATTTGCCATCTAGCTTTGTAAGCCGCTTAGTTCTCCAAATCCCTCAAGGAATGTCTTTATCTTGACATAATTAACTAGTTTATATTTTGTCAAGTTGCCTACTGTTGAACTCATGAACTCTGTCCTAGTGAGGTTGCTTTGGGAACTATTCCTCTGAATTTCCTAGCACCCTTTGTAGATTTAAAATAAAAAAAAAACTTTTGATGTAGGGTGGATAGTGTGCATTCCTTTATGCATCTTCCCTTTTTAATAAGGGTTAATAAACTTAATTTGTATTTAACAAGGGACTCTAGAATTGTTCTTTATTTTTGATCTTCTGGGGAAAATCTTTAAGATGCTGATATGCCTACAGTACATATAGATCAGTGGTTCCCAACCTTTTTTCAGATGGGGACCCATTTTGACAATTCAGGAAGACTTAGTGACCCAGGGCAATTCAAAAACAGGGGAAGGAGAGGGGGCAGAGGTACCTGCGGAGACACTTGGCGACCCTTTTGAAATATAATGGTGACCCATAGGTTGGGAAACCCTGATATAGACAAATGTGTTGCACTTTTATCAGTTAAGGCTGGCTGCATGCAGGCTGTTGTATAACTCTGTGTGTTTAAACATAGTATGTAATGTACAAAACAAAGTCATATTTTATGTGCCAAGGAATTTCTATTCCTTTCTATATGTTGGTTTAGCACCATTTTGGCCAGAATTCCTTATTAGAGTGGTGTTGTTTTTCAGGCTGTTCCTTTCAGTCTTGACAGTGTTGCAAATGCTATTCACACCTTGTTTTCTGAAGAAACCCCTGTAGTCTTACAGTTGGCTCCTAGTGAAGAAGTGAGTATTGTTTCATCTCCTAAACCATTTAAAATAAGTGTTAAATCATGCAATTGGAAACCGATGTGCATGAATATCTTGTATTATAAAAGCACTTCCATCTGTGATGGAGTTGATTTATGAAGTCTGAAAAATCCAAAACTGAGCTATGCTCATATTATGCAATGGCTGTTCTTACAGAGAGTGTATATGGTGGGAAAGGCAAATTCTGTATTTGAAGACCTTTCCGTCACGTTGCGACAGTTACGGAACCGCCTTTTCCAGGATAATTCCATTCTCAGTTCTCTTCCCCTCAACTCCCTCAGCAGAAACAATGAGGTAAGAAACAGTGGCTGATGAATACTGCTTTAATTAAACTGCCTCTGATCTACTTAGGAGTTCAAACCATATTAAGAAATATGCTCATGCATTGTTCATCTCCTTGTTGTCTAAGGTGGAAGTTGCCCCCCCAAGTCAATATTTAACTTGAAGTACTAGAAAACAGTGATTTGCTTTTGGGCATTGTTTTATTACTGCAGAAAATAAAGCTATTACTTACAGTAGCAGTCTGCTGAGATGTGGTTTTTCAAAAAGAGGCTGCATAATCTTCAATTGGTATTCAGAAAATACCTATTTCTCTTCCCTAGGTTGACCTGCTCTTTCTATCAGAACTACAAGTCCTGCATGATATCGCCAGCTTGGTAAAGTGTGATTTTTCTCCCCTCCCCCTCCCACCCCCCCGAAAACTCCCTCAGCAGTTGAAAGACAGTTTTATTAAAATCTGACATCTTATGTGTAAAGATCTCTAAGACAGTGGTGTCCAAATTGTATTCTCAGAAGCCTGTTGTAGTTTGTAGGGATTTGAACTGTGGCCTTAAAAATGACTTAAAAAGGTGTATTTAGAGGTTGGAAATGTGTTCCACGAGCTGCTTCCTTTCGCTTCTACACTGAAGTGTTTGAATCAGCTCTGCCACTAAACTGGCGAGAGATGGCATGATTTCTTGTTCCCTGCATCAGCCCTGTTGTGAGTTGGGACATTGAACAGCTGCTTGATTTGTGGGTGGTTCCTTTATGCTGCCTAATGGTGCAATAGGAATAGACTAGAGTAGGGTTTCCTTGCTTCCTTGATCATCTTGATAGTTTCGCGTGATCTTATCAATAAACTAGGGAAATACAACTTAGATGGGGTTATGACAAGGTGGGGGCATAACTGGTTTGATAACCATTCTCAGACTAGTTGTTAATGGTCCACAGTCATACTAGAAGGGCATAACAAGTAGAGTTCCACAGGAGCTTGTTTTAGGACTGGTTCTGTTCAATATCTTCATCAACAATTTAGATATTGGCATAGACAGTATGATTATTAAGTTTACAAATGATACCAAGCTGTAAGGGGTTGCAAGTGCTTTGGAGGATAGGGTCATAATTCAAAATGATCTGGACAAACTAGAGAAATAGTCTGAGGGTAAATAGGATGACGTTTTAATAAGGACAAATGCAAAGTACTCCACTTAGGAAGGAAAAATCAGTTTCTCACATACAGAATGGGAAGCAACTAGGATAAATGAGTCAGTGTGACACTTGCAAAAAAAGCAAATATGATTCTGGGATGCGTTAACAGGAGAGTTGTGAGCAAGACACGAGAAGTCATTTTTTCCATTCTACTCTATATTGATTAAGCCCCAGTTGGAGAATTGTGTCCAGTTCTGGGTACCACATTTTCAAGAATGTTGTGGAGAAGCTGGAGAAGGTCCAGAGAAAAGCAACAAAACATGACCTGTGAGGGAAGACTGAAAAAATTGGGCTTGTTTAGTTTAGAAAAGAGAGTACAGATGTTTAAGCACAACATTTTATCATAACACTATAGCAGTTTTCAGGTATCTAAAAGGATGTTACAAGGTAGGGAGGTAAGTGACTCTTAATACATTTAAAGGGCTAAAGCGCAGCGGGGGACCTGGTGTGAGTCAGGAATCAGCTTTCTTGGCTCGGGCCAGGTCCCCTCTGCTGCATATCAGCCATTTAAATGTATTAAAAGGCAGTGCCGCAGCAGGGTTAGCTGCAAGGACCAGGCACTAACCCTGCTGTGGCTCCCATCCTTATCAACTAATTGTCAAGTCAATGGAAAATCCAATGACTAGTCGATTAGTTCATTTACTAAATTTAATGTCCCTGTTACAAGGAGGAGTGAGGAAAAATTGTTCTCCATGGCCTCTGATGCTAGGATAAGAAGCAATGGACTTAAGTTGCAGCAGGGGGGGCTTAGGTTGGACATTGGGGAAAAACTTCCTAACTCTTAGGGTGGTTAAATGCTAGAATAAATTGCCTAGGGAGGTTGTGGGATCTCCAACAATGGAGATATTTAAGAGCAGATTGGATAGACATCTATCAGGGATGGACAAGAGAGTCTCCATGGGCTGGGTCCAGCCAGTGGATGCCCTGCCACTCCCCGCCCCCAATCAATCAGGAACTGGGGATGGGGGAGTGCAAAGTCTCCTCCTGCCGTTAGGGGTGTGGGCACCTAAAGAGAACTGCCAGCTGTTCTGAACAGCTGTCAGTTTCCTCTTGGGAGGGCAGGGGGCAAAGACTTTACATGCTCTCACATACCCAGGCCAATAGTCTGTGAGTGGCAGAGCACGGAAGTATCCTGGCCCTGTCCCTTATGGGGTGGCCCAAGGCCACTTCAAAAATTTGTGAAGTGGCCCCCCTTCTAAAATTGTCTACCCTGATATAATGGTGCTTGGTCCATCCTACATGAGGGCAGGGGACTTGACTTGATGATCTCAATGTCCCTTCTGGTTCTAATATTCTGTGAACGGAAATAATCTTCTGTTTCGGTGAAGAGGTTTAGTGACTGTTTCTACAACTAGTAATCAAAAGCCATAGCTGGCCGTGTAGGTTAAATTTCAGTACTGGGTTATCATATAATCATAGGACTGAAAGGGACCTTGAGAGATCGTCTAGCCCAATCCCCTGAACTCATGGTAGGACTAAGTATTATCTAGACCAGAGCTACTCAACATGCAGCCTGTGGCCCACAGGTGGGATCTAAAACAAAAAACTAGCCCAATTAATTAATTAATTAATTAATTAAATGGAGATTGCCTATCTCCTAGAACTGGAAGGGACCTTGAAAGGTCATCGAGTCCAGTCACCTGCCTTCGCAGCAGGACCAAGCACCACCCCTGCCAAATATAATGGTCTTCTGTTGATGTGTGTTTTAGTAGTTAAATTCCTGAGCTGCTGTTACTAATTAAAAGTGCTAACACGTGGGTGGAAATTGAGTAAATATTGCATTTTATTAATATCAGCAGAACTGATTTAAATGGGACCTGTGTGTTGTGTAGTCTTGCCTTAATCTTTGTATACATGCCAGTCAGTATGAAAGAAGCTATTTGCATATATTTGCTTTCAGCCACACTTAAGTTGCAGCCCTCGTTATGTGCTGTGAGTATCATTGTGGCCCCCAGGGCTTCCAAAGTTGAGTAGACCTGATCTAGACATTTTCTGATGGGTGTTTTGTCTAACCTGCTCTTCAAAATCTCCAATGATGGAGAATTCCACAAGCTCCCTATGCAGTTTATTCCAGTGCTTAACTACCCTGCCTGGAAGTTATTCATAATGTCAAATCTAAAACACCTTTGCTGAAATTTAAGCCTATTCCTACTTGTCACCTCTCCAGAGGTTAAAAAGAACAAACTTTCTCCCTCGCTCTTTTAATATACTTGAAAACTGTTATGTCCCCTCTGTCTTCTCCACGACCTCTCATAGGTCATGTTTTCGAAACTTGATTTTTTTGTTTTTGTTTGTCTTCTCAGGGCTTTCTCCAATTTGTCCACATCTTTCCCCTGAGGCTTCTGAGTTGCAACAGAGTACTTTCCCAGGTTTCTGACTGATGGGTCTTGAGAACATGCTCAGGGTCTAACTGGTCACTGTATTTGGGGTCAGGAAATTTCATCAGGGCCATGAGGGGAGGGGTTAGCCTCTCTCTACAGCATGGGGTGTGGGTCACTTGCAGATTAAAATTAGTATAAACAGTAGATTCTGCATTCAGTCTTAAATCAAGATTTGAGAACTTCAGTAACTTAGGTGGAAATTAGAGGGCTATTGCAGGAGTGATTAGAGGTTCTGTGGCCTGCAATGTGCAGGTGGTCAGGCTAGAGATCTTGGTCTTAAACGTCTCCTGGCCTTAAAATGTGGGATACAGGTTGACATGCTGTAATACAGACTTCCCTAGTCTGGCATCGTTGGGGTGACCCCATGGGGCCAGGAGCATTGCCAAATTGGGGCAGGCAGAGGGCAGAGTCCCAGGCTGCAGTGGAGCTTCTGGGGAGAGCCCCTGGCAGGAGTGGGGCTACCAGATAGAGCATGGAGTTCTGGGCGTAGGGACATTAATTACAATTGTGAAATGCTCTGTTTCTGTGGTGATGGGGGAGGGAGAAAGAAGAATCAAATACCTTAGTTTTCACATCTTGAAGAAATACTGCTTATTTAGGTGGCAGCAGAAAAAATAAAATTAAACTGGTCTTTGCTGCGAACTTTATTAATAGCACAGAAAACCATGGGTATCCATGGAATCTATGCATTTTCCATCATGCTGTTATGCAACTCTCTACTTACTATAAAAGTCTTAGAATCAGGATTATCATATAAATGATAGGTGTTCCTTAAGTTTATGAATAAGATCCCTTGGGTTGAACTGTAACTCTTGTTGCATGTGCCTTTTTAAAATGATCTCTGGCATAAGCTTACCCAGGCATTTGCTACCCTGCCTCCCATTTTGGCAACAATATACCCAGCTGTAGACACTGATCTGATCCAAGATGGCAAGCTCTGGAAAACTTCCAAGTCTGCATGGACTATATCAGGCAAAAAGGAAAATGACTCAGTCAGTGATTAAATCTTATTACACTGAGTATTTGAACTAACTCTTTTTTTTTCTATTGGACTCTTCTTCCCCCCCCCCCCCCCATGGTTCACTTTTTTCCCCTTAAGTTGTCAAGACATAAACATCTGGCAAAGGATCACTCTCCAGATCTCTATTCACTGGAATTGGCTGGGTTAGAAGAAATTGGGAAACGGTATGGGGAAGACTCTCTGCAATTCAAGGATGCCTCTCAGATTCTTGCTGATTCCCTGCAAAAGGTAAAAGGAAATCTTCCATCAATATTGTTCTGGAAGAAAGTCTGCAGTACTGGTTTAATAAGAGAGCTGAACGCCTACATTCATTTGGTCATTCAGCAGCAATGCTGTGAATTGCCATTCCTTTTCATTGACCTCATCATCCCTTGGTTGGGTAAACTCATGTCCCTTAGTCAAGTATCAAATCTAACTTGCGTATTTTGGTCACTCCTCAGGAAGAAAAGTATTGGAGGGACTTTTTGGCTGGTCAGAGCTATTTGTAAAGGAGTCAGAGGGTGATATTAAGTGTGTAAATCAGTCCTGATGAGTTGGTTTTAAAACAGATACTTGTGTTGGCAATCATTTCTTAAACTGGCTGAAAATATGAAGCACATAGCTCTGGTGCTAGCCAGCACAATATGTGTCTGCACACTGTGGGTTTTTCCCCACCTTGTGCAGCTCTACCATTTTCAGGTCTCCTAAATACATGCTGTTTCACTCCTCTTCTTGAGCGGGCTGCCAGTTGTGGTTTGTTTCTAAACAAATCTTCATCAAGAAGACCGACCACTCCAATCCTGCTGGTATCCAAAGCCTGATGCTAAAATACAGTGAGGCAAAACTCTAGAGTCTTAATTCACAAAATCAAACAGCTCTCTTCTGTAAAGTATTTCCATTCATATACAGCAGTTCAGCTTGTATATCAAATGTTCACATTTTCTCAGAATTGCTCGAGTAGAAATTTTAGATGAAGTATAGAACTGGGAAAATAGATGGCCCAAAGTAAGTGTAATGGGATATAGTAGCTTTCATATGAGAGCATATGTATCCAGTGGTGGTCAAGAAGATACTGAAGATCCTGGGCAACTTTCCAGTGCTCTGTAAAGATATGAACTGTTTTAGCCCACAATTGGTACTCCTAGCAGACTCAAATCCATTGGAGACTTGAGATTTCTTCACACTGTTCAGATCTGCTGCTTTGATGCCTCATTTGTTAGTAAATCTAATACTCATATGCGATGATCAGAAGCTACAAACTATCTGGAACTAAGCTATTTTTGCTCTTTCAGTTTGCCGATGAGATGTATAATCTCTATGGTGGGAATGCCGTAGTAGAGGTGGTGACTGCAAAGACATTTGATACGCCCCTTGTGAGGAAGAGTCGATCCATTCTCCAGTCTTCACAGGTAGTGAGTGCACTTGAAACTAGGAGTGGGAAATAACTTTTGATTGCCGGGGGCGCTCCAAGATTAAGTGGCCAGGGCTGCATTTCTCTGTGTAGGAGGTATGGAGGCTGGGTGGAGAAGGGAGATCGGGATTAGGATGCAGAAGATGATGTGGGGCATGAGGGGGTTCAGGTGAAAGAGGAGGTAGTGACCTAGGAAAAGGGATTTGGGTGCCAGGTCCAGGAGAGGGCATGGGTGCAGGAGAGGATTCTGACTTGGGGGAAGGGTGTGGAAGGGAGCACAGGGTCTGGGAGGGAGTTCTGACCTGTGGGAAGGGCTGCAGAGGATTTTAGTGGTGACCTGGGGCAGAGAGTTGAGGGACAAGAGGGAGGGTGCCAGATTCAAGCTCTGACTTGGAGGAGCTTACATAGGTGGCTCCCAGCCAACAGCCCAGCAGAACCCATTGGTTACTGGCCAGTGGGAGCTGTGATGATTGTCCTGAGGCATTGTGTGAAGTCCCTCTCTGACACTGCCTGCCCGCCCGCAAGGGGCACATGGAGGCACCAGGCCCAAGCAGCTGGCTCCTTTGGGCAGCCTGGGGCTATAGGCAGGGAGCCTGGGCTGCATCCAAAGGCTTGGTGGGCTGGATTTTGCCCACCCTTGCTTTAAACTCTCATTCTGCAGATTAGGTATTAGAAATGTGACAGCTGTATCACTCCATTTTTTGAACTAGAATGTTAACTTGATGAAGTAGCAATCTTTTAAACTTTTAGGAGTTTAGACACTAGATGAACAAAAAGCAAGTAAAATCCTGATCTAGGGTCCATTTGATGCCAGTTACTTAAGTGCATTAGTAATTAGTCCCAGCAATTCCAGAGATGCCTGTACAAACTAGGGATGTGGATAGTTAATTGGTAACATCAGTAAGCATCATTTGGCAAAGATGATTACAATTAACAAATGGTGCTGGAGCAGACCCTTGCACGCAGGTGGGCCCATCCCTGTTTAACCTTCAACTGGTTAACTGATTAACTGGGATTTTAAATCCCTAGTACTAAGGGATTTAGAGTTTCCATCTCTTGGTATGGGCAGTCTGAATGTTAGGGTAATTGGAGTATGTTCTGTATGAAGGTGACTTCAGAAGCATTATGACTGCTGGTCTCCAGCTGTCTCACTTAAACCATACTTTACTACTTTTTCCACAGAGCACCTCATATAACCTAGGATATCCATACAACTTCAACTACGCTGTGGTCTTTAACATAGTTCTGTGGCTCATGATAGGCCTTGCATTAGCTGTGATTGTAATCTCCTACAACCTCTGGAACATGGATCCTGGCTATGACAGCATTATTTACAGGATGACAAATCAGAAGATAAGAATGGATTGAACTTCAGTCCAGGGAAAGAAGTGTATGGCTACTTCCAAAATGTGTACAAAAATTAATATTTTTGTCATGATTTAAGGAAGTCCACATTTAAGGTGCTTTTATTTCACTAACGATCCCTTGTGTTTTCTTTAGGCTTTAGATGAGTGAACTTACAAAACTGAATCTATAGTCTGCTATAAAACCATGGTCTACTAGTTACTAAATGATAAACTTCATTCCATTTTAGTAATGCAAAATGAATTTTAGAAATAATACCCTGTATTGCTTGTGATATTGTGTGTATGTGTGGGGGGAAATGCACTGAAATGACAGCAACTTTCTGATTTAAGCTTTTTACACTGGAGAGTTAAACTATTAAGCTCTGTTGTATATTATGAACCAGATGTAAATGTTTATGTTGATGTAAATATTTCTAATGGTACATGAAGTGTTCAGGGAAAAACAGATTAGCCCTTTGTGTAAAAACCTTCAATATGGGAATAGTTCCACAAAAACAGTTCTGGGTTGAAACCGTATTTGGGGTTGGGTTTTTTAACATTCCAACCACCACCATTAACCTTAAGGAACATGAGGGTTGGTGTAGATCTTACTAGCTCACTGCTGCATTTAGAAGGACTCTGGAGAGATGATAGCTAGAAACATTGGTGTGGTTGGTCTGTAATAGTCAGGAAACTACAAATGTAGAAATAGTTAAGTGGAATGTCATACTGTAGAAACTTACAGTATGATGCTTATTTTTTTTCTTGTGTGTTGTAGCTATTCAAAACACCTGCTTTTGGTGGTGAAAGTGGACCAATAATTGGCACTCATCCAGACTCCATTTTTATTACTTCAACCCATTCACTAAATAAAACAAGTAACACTTGCACTTGAGTTATTTTCCTATTGAGGAACTTAAGCTAAACCAAGCAAATGTAGGCAGCTAGATGTGTGTAATTACATTAGGCCACCTTAAACAAAGTTTGCTGTAACTTCTACTCCTGATTGCTATTGGCCTGCTGGGTGACCTTGAGTAAGTCACTCCCATCAGAGTGCCTCTGTTTTCCCCATATGTAAAAAAAACTGGGATGTTACTGACCACTCAAGTAGAGTATTTCATGCATAGATCTCAGAGTGATTTGAAAGTTAATACTGAAAGGCTTTTACAAGCCAATAAAGCTCTAAGTATTTGAAGTTATTTTGTCTGTATTGTTGATATAAAGCCTTTACCTGGGTAACAAGTAGTTGAAAGCCTGTGCTGTTATATTGGTGTAGCAGTGGCCCAAGTAATTTACCATCTGTGCTCTGTCTGGTTAATTTTTCCGTAGGGGGTGCAGTGACCAGTGAGGGTAGCTTGCTTTCTTGCCAGTGTGTATTGTCAAAGCTGAGTGGTACTGGTAATAGTGCCTCCATACATGTGTACATAGAGCAGGTTATTTGTGGCAGGGTGTCTGTGTCTGTGCACTGTTTGCCTAAACTGTAGTGAGCTGTGTTACTGTGGGTAAACTGATCAACTGCCATGCAACCGTTAGCCCCCAATATTCCATTGAGTTCTTGCATGCCTGTGTGATTGAACTAGCTGATACTTTAAACAAAAAGCACCCAGACTTGTTCATAGCTGTTTCCATCTTTTCAGAGTGACAGTCCTAGACTATCTGTTAGTGTGTGTGGATGATAGTTTTGAAAGACAGTGGCAGCTGGCCAAGTAACCCAGCAGCTGTGCAATCTCTCTCATGCTGCAAATTTCTCTGGTTGTAAACTAGCTGTAAAGAAATGACCATAACTGGACGCTTGGCATAGGATAGAGATATGCCTTCATGTAGATGCATGTACTGTAGTGAGTTACACTTTAAAATCAGAAAAGGATGAGAATTCAAATTGAATAATAACCAGCTGTAAAAGGCAACAATTCAGTTTGGTGATAAGTCTAACCAAAGAGCCCTCAACCATGCTTGTAGCTGTTTTGATTGCTTCACTTTGCCTCTACAACCATTCTAGGCTTCAGTGTGACATATGGGGAATCTTATTACATAGAGGCTTGTGCCAATAACTCCATTAGCATGCTGCAATTAAACAACTGGAACTGGCTTACTTTTATTTCAGTAGTAGCAGGAAAGTGGCAGTTGCTGTCTGCAATACAAGAGCAGCAGTGTAGATTACTGTTTTATAACAGACTGATTCACTTCACTTGTTTAACTCCCATCAGTAGTGGAGACTTTCCCAAACAAACTAGCCAAAGGAAATTATTCAACATCTGTTTGGAAACTGAAATTGGGTGGAGCAGTTAGTATATGAGAGAAAGAGTCTTAGGTAAATTCTGCAGCTTAGTGAGACTGGATATCCTCCCATCAGACAAGTCAGCAGCAGTTTATGTAATGGAGTTTAGGTTGACAGTTTACTTAGTAGTAGTCTTGAAAAAAGTAAAATATACTTGTCTCCCAGAAGGCACAGCACAGTTGTTCAGTTTTCTCAACTAGAGGCATTACCTGTTCAAAGCTGAACTCAGTTAAGACATTTATTGAATATGCTATCATTTAAGTATAAAACTTGGCATTTGGTATTACTATACCTCAGTTATACTACATTTCCAGTTTGTCAGTAGGATTGTGTCAAATATACTTGACAGTCAAAACCTGCTTAGCAATTGAAATAAGTACGAGAGGTGTTTAACTTGGATTGCTTTTTGACTTGGGCAGATATGAAAGGAATCCTGCATACTGCATTCCACCTCAAATTCAGTATATTTGCTAGGAAAGATTAACAGAGCTAGCCCCACTGATAGTCACTAAATTGTGCCTTTTTGAATATCTGTACCTCATTACCAATATATCATCCCCAAAGGAAAATGTTAGGATCTGATGTAAAGTTTAAATGGGGTTTCAAATGTGGAACTATAATTTCCTACAACCCCAAATATGGGATAGTGAAAGTTTCAGGAACACTTACATTTGCATTACTTTCACCTCTGGCCTTAGAATTAAGGCTTATGAGATGTAGTTTCTTTAACCTTATCCTCCTCTTATGCTCTGTAACTCTAAAATGTTCTGTATTGTAATACAAAAGACTGAAGTTTTAAAACTTTGTTTAAAAGCCAGTGATGCACTAGGTTCACTAATTTATCACAGTAAGGGTACTACTGGTGCTAGAAGAAGGTGGGTTACCAGCTACCCCCCTTTTTAACATGGGCATAGTTTTTTGGGGGGACAGGAGCAGCAATACTTCCTAAGCCTTTGGCTGGCATAGTGTTGCGGTCAGGAGTTGCTGGGGGGGGGAGGAGAGAGAGAATCTTATATCTATTAAATTAAAGAGGGACCTGTCAGTTCTTTGTTAGATTTGTGTGTGACTTCAGCTCTAGATAACCACTATAGAAATTTACTTTTAACTAAAAGGGCCAGGATGTTTGGAATATCACTTACCAGTACTTCTGCAATAGTATTTGATATCTGCCTACAGTGCTGAGATTAGCACCAGCACTGTGTCTCAGTACCTATGATGCACAGCGGGTCATTCAAAAGCCTCCTGTTCATCTGCCATGGCACTTCTCAGCACCAACATTACTGTACCGGCATCTCACCCAGCCCCAGGGGTGAGTAAACCATCTTGCATCAGTGCATGCACCACCATGGCATTGACTCTGCCACCTAGCACCAGTACATGCAGCACAGAGACCTTGTGCTCTCCTCCTGGAGAGATTTTTCCATCAACTGAGGAAGTTGGTGTTAATTCCCCTCCTATTGATTATTTCTTCTAATCAGCGCAGGACTCATCCTCCACAGTCAAGGCACAGGAGCCCAGCGTGTCCAGGAGTCTGTATGCCACTGTAGTACAATAATCTATGGATGCCCCCCACCATGCCCTCATGGGAGAGGGATAAGGATCTTACACAAAAAGGGGATTTTGTGCAAAAAGAATGTCCACACTGCTTGTTTTTGTGCAACAATGGCTCAGATTATGCAAATGAAGCATGACAATGCTAATCAGTGCTTCATTTGCATACTATCTGCTGGCAAGTCAGCAGTGTAGACAAAGAGACTTATCCTGTGAATTATCTCAAAGTCTCTGAATGCCAGTTAAGTTCAGTAGCATTTCAAGTTTTCTGTTTAGTCCCCATACTACTTGCATCACAAATAAACATTTAAGATGTTAGATTTCTTTTATGTTTGCTGTTGTCTCACCTCTGTTCACCACAAATTCATGTGCTGGACTTACCCCTGGGCTTTTGTTTCCTGCTAGCCTACTTTAAACTTGCCTCACTAGGTGACAAATCTATATTCAAAGCTTTCCTTGATGGGTAGGCCACAGAAAAGTAGCCCATAGTTAAGAAAGCCAAAGACCTCCTTGTGACACCAGCCAAGCATTCACCTCCAGGATCTATCTGTCTCTCTCTGCCTTGGCTCCTACTCTTAACCAGAAGGATGAGAACAGCACCTGTGTCCAACTCCATCAACACTCCCAGAATTCAGCATCCTACCTCACAGGTATTAATACTTAGGGGGATGAATGGTACAGGGGCCTAGGACTGGCTGATCATTGACAGTTCTCTGAAATGTATAAGACACAGGTCCTGGCAGGCAGCATGCCTACTGGTAGGTACCTCTCACACTGGATGATTTTCTCTGGCTGGGTGCAGGAGCAGTGTTAGCTCTGGTCTAAACCATGATCTTATTCTCTCTCCCCCTTATAAAATCCTTCTCAAACTTCTATGTTTGCTGACCCTTCATTATTTAGCATCTGGCTTTTAAGGTCCCCTCTCGGAGTCAGCTCTGGACCCTCCTCCCCAACCATTAACACCCTGAGAAAGGGTGATCTATGCTCAAAGGCCAGGGGGTGAGTCCTGCTAATGTACACTCAGCTGCTAGTCAGCCTTTGGCCCACACAATCCCCGAAGACCACATTGTAAACTTCAAGCAAGTCAGAAGAAAAGCCAAAAAACAAGCACACCTACCCCGAAGCATTAGTACTTACTTCTTCAGCAGCCTCCCACAGCTAGCGCCCACCCTAGTCTCAAATAACCCCTACGCACAAGCCATTGGCTCTGTAAGTGAAGACCCAAGCATTCCCCAACCTTCAGGCTTCTCCTGGGCACAAGCTCCTGTGCTCCGCTCCGCTCTACTCCATTTCTGTTGTTGGGTCGCCCCGCAGCACTTACCCTTACAGTAAAATCAACAGCGTATGTCTAGTCTGGCATGATTTTCCGCAAATGCTTTTAACAGAAAAGTTTTCCGTTAAAAGCATTTGTGGAAAAGAGCGTCTAGATTGGCAGGACGCTTTTCTGCAAAAGCAGTTTTTGTGGAAAAGTGTCCCTGCCAATCTAGAGGCGCTTTTCCGCAAAAAAGCCCCGATCACCATTTTCACAATCAGGGCTTTTTTGCGCAAAACAAATCTGAGCTGTCTACACTGGCAAAGGACTTTTGCTCGAACAGGAGCAGCAAAGTATTTCTGCAAGAAGCACTGATTTCAGACAGTAGGAAGTCAGTGTTCTTGTGGAAATTCAAGCGGCCAATGGAGACAGCTGGCAAGTTTTTCCACAAAAGCAGCTGCTTTTGCAGAAAAACTTGCTAGTCTAGGCACAGCCGAAGTGACTATAGCTGATGTGGCAATGACAGATTTGCACCCATCTTCTGAAGATTTGGGGAAAGGATCATGAGTGGGGTTCCATAGAACACGGCTACTGTTCAGGGTTTCAAGGAATCCCTTTATGGCACCAGAAAATCATTACATGTGTCATGTTGAGAAACTGGATTTTGTGAAGAATTTAGTTAAATTACCTTCGCTGCCTAGGTTTTGGTGTGGGGCTTCTCTCGGAACAGGATATATGGTGTGGAAGTTCTGTGCAACAATGCTCTCGTACAAAAAAGAGAGGAGACAGACTGGCTGCTGCTGAAACTCATTTCATTCCCAGAATCCAGAGACCCACATAATGTTTCTGCAGACATTCTCCCTCATCTTTTATAGGCAGCCTCTGGTGAGATCAATCAATTTTTACAACAGCCCAGGGAGTGATTCTCTCTGGCACATGCTTGCCACCTTATGGCTTAACAAGACACTGATAAACAGGGCTCTGAACCTGGATAGGAAATGTAGCTTAAGGAAAAAAAATCTGTTAATGACTCATCTCAAATTAATCTTAAGAAAACCCTTCTGCGACAGAGTGGAATAATGGAGGGGACACAGCAAGGGTGCATTTATGCGCAAATG